TTGATATCCCTCATGGCCTGGAACCCAGGCTAAGGTCACCTTATTTTAACTACTTAGCTCTGTCACGTCTTCTAGACAGTCTTTCACCAGTTGTGATTTGATTTCTGGTGATAGAATTGCCTTTAGAGCTGCTTGGCTATCAGAGTATATGACAATAGTTTTGCATCATACTTGCTGATTTTTCATGTAGGTAAATTCAAGTACAAGTAAATTCAAACACAAGCGAATGATATTTATTGGTTTATAGTTTATTGGCATTTACTATATATTTGCCTGGTATGATGTTAACCAAAATTATTTAAAATTTTAAATTAACATTAAGTATCTAAATAAAACACTGTCCTAAAAATATATAATTTTTTAATTATTAATTACAAAAAAACATGGAATGGCAAAAAATATCGTAAAAAAACTAAAAAATTTTATAATAATGTTTTAAATATATAAAATACTAAAATTTCATTTAATTTTTTTATGCTTAGTTATTAATGTTATAACTTACTGCAATGTTTCTTTTTGCAGCAGGTTCTGTTCCAAAAACAGTTGAATCACAACTAAAAACCCATACATTAGATATACATACATATAGGTAATAAATAATGTTTCGAGGTAAACAAAAAATTAATATTTTGTATTTTTACCTGTTGGATAAGTCATCCAAAAATAGAAAGCCCTCACACCGTCTGGAGTTTGCATCTTTTCTAATATATCTAGTACCATTTGCATGTACCAAAACATTTTCTGGAAAACAGTGTTCTAAACACAACTCTGGGTTTTTACGAAGGGACTGATTTTCAAGGATTCCTATTAGAGAAAACCAAAATTTTCTTTTCTCAGGATCTTGCGGAAACCTAAATGGAATAATAAAAAAAATGTATAGGTGCTCAAAAGGTAAATCATTTTAAAGGTATTCTACATTTTACGTTAAATTTTCTTTGGCCACTATTCAATAATTATTTATTGGTATGAGAAAAATTTACTAATTTATAAAAGGACTTTAAAAACTGTTTTAAGATTGTTTTAGACTACAGAAGTTTTTGATACAATTTCTTGTACAATTTAAATTGTATATTATCAAACCTGCAGTAAATTGTCTGAAAAATTAGATTGGATAATCATTTTTCAAACAATTTACTTATGTGATCCTATATAATTTAAATTCTATAAGAAATTGTATCAAATCTTGTACAAGCCCTACTCCACTAGTTCAAATAAAAACAACATATCTTAACCTAAAAATACTTACCGATGAAACCATACATTTCGACTTAAATGATCTACCTTTTTGAACACTACACATGCATGTACCATAATTCTTTATATTTCTCACAAAAGTTCACAAAAATAGTATTTTATAAATGAATAAATCAATAAGTCACACAGAAACTGTCAGATACTGTTAGAAATACAAAATAGCTGTTAGACCTGATTGGCAACGTTGCGGCTATTTACGGTACTACATTTCATTCATAAAAATTGTAAACTCGTAAAATAGATATTCAGCGTTGCCGTATTTACGGAGTTCTTCGAAACCCTAATATTTTGTTTAGATTATTATTGATTTTTTAATAAAAAATTTAGCTTATATTAAAACTTCAAAGAATAATTTGATTAAAAACATATTTTTATTAATATAATATAAAATTATAGTTACAGGACACATCAAATTTTATTTTTCGAAAGTAATTTCTCCAAATAATTTTTACAGACTGATAAAATCGGCAAAGACGCAATAAACGAGAATCTGGTGGGAATAATGATTTGCCACATAAAAATGTAAACAATTTGGTCTCTTAGTTGTCATGTCTTTGCGCCCAACATAGGGCGCGGCCATTTTGAACCCTGTGACACAGTTTATAGCTAAAGAATCAGATCGCTCACTCTGCGTCGGCACTTTTTATCTCAATGTTCCAGTTTATACACTGCGCAACTCAGATAAAACAATATATGACAACCGCCTATAATAAAACAGCAGTCGTCTGCGTATCCTGGATTTGTATACCTGGAGTGGATGTTATTTTGGAACTTTCAGCTGGTCCGAGTGAGCTAACTGATTCTTTAGCAATAAACTGTGACTCCAAAAATATTATTCACTGACACTGACAGCAGCAAGCAAAATATCAGGTGCGTTTTAATCATCCGCTTCTGCTTCCGGAATTGTCGGTTCAGTCGTTCTAACCTGTCAGATTAAAACAAGAAAACCGACAATTCCGAAGCAGAAGCGGATGATTAAAACGCACCTATTAAAAATATTGCGCCAAGATGTAGGCAACACGTAATAAGGGTTTAAAATGGCGGAGTTTTCTATTTCCTTTTATTATGGTGCGTTTGATTTGATCATCGGAGATCTCCGAGCGCTTCAAAAGTGTTTGAATTGACACTCCGAGAGATCCCTAAAGTGTTTGTTTCGCTTTGGAGCGAGAACATAGAGCGAGCTCGATGTTCTCAGAGCAGAAAGATCGAGAAGAGGGAGAAATTTGTCTTTGTCTCTACCTATCTCTTTTTAATTAACTTACAAACAAATTTGAATCTCAAAATTAAAGACCAGACAAGAAGTCAACAAATTACTTAGCCGCTTTTGTCTTAAAGCTAAAATTATTCATCATAAAAAAACACAAAATGTGTTTGGAAAATACATTTTTTCTGTCCAGATCTAATCACCAGTAATCACAGTCATGGAGTATGAGAGCGAAGCGGGCATTTGTGGTAAATGCTGCATTTCAGGGCCATTACCCCTTATTATTAAAAGTTTTTCCATTTTCTTTACTTTTTGCTCACTATTTTAACATAAAAACCAGAAACAAGAATCACAAAAAAGCGAGGTTATGTTTTTTACTCTGTTTTATTTGATTTAATTCAATGCTCTATTGTGACGCCATCACTTCTCGGTCTCCTCGACGCTCGCTCGATCGAGTTTCAAATCAAACGCCCCTTTAAAAGCACATACTTTGATTTTCTTTTACTATACGGAGAATGGTCGCCCTGCGCAGCTTTCTGAGTGCCTTTTAAAAGGAGATAGAAAACTCCGCCATTTTGAACCCTTATTACGTGTTGCCTACATCTTGGCGCAATATTTTTAATAGGTGCGTTTTAATCATCCGCTTCTGCTTCGGAATTGTCGATTTTCTTGTTTTAATCTGTCAGGTTAAAACGACTAAACCGACAATTCCGGAAGCAGAAGCGGTTGATTAAAACGCACCTCATATTTTGCTTGCTGCTGTCAGTGTCAGTGAATATTATTTTTGAAGTCACAGTTTATTGCTAAAGAATCAGTTAGCTCACTCGGACCAGTTGAAAGGTCCAAAATAACATCCACTCCAGGGATACAAATTCAGGATACGCAGAAGACTGCTGTTTTATTATAGGCGGTTGTCATTTATTGTATTATCCGAGTTGCACAGTGTATAAACTGAAACATTGAGATCAAAAGTGCCGACGCAGAGTGAGCGATCTGATTCTTTAGCTGTAAACTGTGTCACAGGGTTCAAAATGGCCGCGCTCTATGTTAGGCGTGTCGGACCTCTCTCTTGCCTCGTATAGTAATCAAAGTATGTGTTTAAAAGGCACTCAGAAAGCTGCGCAGTGCGACCATTCTCCGTATGGTAAAAGAAAATCAAAGTATGTGGGCTAGATCCACTTCTCATTGACGGTGAAACTTCAACTTGACAGTTAGTCTCCGCTGGAGGAATTGTCATCGTAGGAGCGTGTTCGATATCGATGATGGACTCTTGTCGTCACAGGAACGTGCATGATATCGATATCGGCGAAGGGGTTGTCGTCGTAGCCTCTCGCTGTACCTTTCCCTTTAGCTTTAGCCTCTCGCTACGGTTTACTGGCTCGGAAAGTGGCTTCTTTCTGCTCTCCATGTCTTATTGTGGACTGTATAATTTCCCTTCTTGTTTACAATCTTGTTTCGACGGTTCTTTCTTTTATAATGACACTCTTATATATTAATGACAGTTCTATATATAAAATAAAATTCCAAGGTGACCAAACGATTGCTTGATTCTTTTCTTAACAGTCATGATTTGATTCGTTTTCAGTTGGGCATTAGATCTGTTATTTCTAGCCACGTTTGAGTAAGTATGTCAAATGTGTCATTCTTTGTGCATTATTAATGATAGGACGACTGAATTGGGTATTATTTTCTATTGTGGTTACGCCCGTATGCACCGTACACATTTAATTCAGATCAAGGGTTTAATCGCGTTTAGTACCATATTCATCTATGGTACTAAACGCGATTAAACCCTTGATCTGGATTAAACGTGTACGGTGCATACGGGCGTACGTTTTGCTTACCTGATATCATTTGTATTGTAACTTATTTGGTGGTGTACTTAACGGATTATCACATTCTTCTGTAAGATGGGTTTTTGCATAAATATTTAGTATGCTCCCATATCTTTGGCACAGTTTGCATTGGGGTATTAATTTTGGGCTTCTCACTGGATTAATTTGGATTATTAGGTATTGGAATGTCTTAATTTCGTTAATTCTTTTAATGTCTTCGCCGTTTTCAAATGTTAACATGAATAGCGGCATGTATTTTCTATAGCAGTTCTTATGACTTGATTTTCTCATCCTTCTTTAGTTTCTCCTCGTTGGATATTAATCACATCCAAGATATTGTGTAGTCAATACGAAAAATTATAGCGTAGTTCGTAAGTTATTAATAATTGAATAAATGAGCAAAATTGATAAATCACCCTGTATCTTGGTTATGAAGAATTAGAAACTCATTAAATACAGGTTATTTAGAACCATTTCGGTGTACCCTATCTACCCCTAACGTATTAATATTTTCCATGAATCACCCTGTATGATTTTTAATCCCGTAAAACGACAAATGTACCTAATCGAAATTAGAATTTTGTCGAAATTGTCCTTACTAAACAAAAGAAACTCCTAAACCAGATGTTTAAAGACTGAATAATTTCTTCTAATTCAAGACACTTCAAGTGAACTGACCATGAAATATCTAACTAGGAGGGATAAAATTACGTTTTCTTGAAAAGCAGATGTACTTTGTTTGGGCCGACAATGAGCATTATAGATCGAAAATAGTTTTGAAACGCATTTCAGAATAATCTTTATCAATATAATTGTGATTGTGGTAGTTTTCAGTGTGTGCTTGTGTGTTCTAAGTGTAAAATGTTTCACTAAAATGGATAGTGCATAGATGCATTGCCAATGTCAAGGGTAAACTAATGAACTATTTTAAGAATTTTTTAATTATAATTTATTATTACTACTTCGGTGAAAAATAATTTTATATTAATTCTTAGAAATTTATTTGTAACCTATAACTAGATTTTGTCCACGGCTTTGGTCGCGTGGATTACATATAGGTACATTTCTAATAAATTTAAACAGATAAATGATTCTGATAATAAATCATTATTGAATTAAATATTAAATCAATTGAGGAAGAAATCATCTATAAAATATTATTTTCAAATTAAAATTTACCTTTTAAATGTTATGGACAAAAAAAATCAATAGGATATTCAAAACCATGTAGGGTCATTAGTGAGAGGTAATAATTAGTTTATAAAAAAATAACACATAATTGACAAAATGTACAGTACATTTTTAAAGAATATTTGGGATTGGGATCCAAATTGGAAGAAATATTATTTTATACCTAATCCATTCTTGGTTATATTTTGGTCATATTATTATAAAACGTTCGACAGATTATTAAAACAAAAACTACACATAATTTACAATATTAATTACTCTAATATTATGATAGTACATTTTTAAAAGAACATGTAGGATCCAGGTCTTTCCAACGTGGAAAGAATATTATATCTAATTCGTGTTTGGGCATGTTATTATAAAATGTTCTATACCTACATGGATATTAGCTTATCTTCTACGCACAGACTACAAAAAGAAAAAGTATGAAATTGCGATCAACTGAACTCTTTATAACTGAACGAATATATTTCATATCCATTCTAGATAAAAAAAATGAAAGCCATCAATTATAGTTCATATTTTGGACACCCAACTACCATTTTAAAAATTTTAAATAAGTGACAGTTTTGTCAAACTAATTGTCAGTATATTTCTTAGATATTGATATAAAGAATCTCTAGTCTATAATATATATTGAGATTAAATATACATTAAAAGAGTTATTTTTGTGTAGAATCGATAAATAATAGCTTTTTGTTTTTATTTGGTTCACATTTAAAAAAAAAATATTTTAATCAAACTAAGTGAAACTTTAATTAGAAGTATTAAAACCAAAATTCCAAAAGTGGCGGTATAGCCCAGACAACACACAGAGTTCAATGGACGTCCACTTTAGATCCATATCCCTATTCGGACATCCAGTGTACGTCCGTTTATGATCATTAATTTGACAGCTGCATATCGATGTCCAGTGGACGTCTGTTTTTGGACTTAATTTTAAGTTTAGTATTATTTTGATGTTCAGTGGATTTCCATCTTAGGTCTTTATTTATTTAGCCTACTAGATAATACCCATCTATATATATTTTTAATAGAATTGGTCATTAAAAATGACAAATTAAATCTATTTCATTTCATTCTATCAGCGGAAGTTTAAAATCTTATTATAAATAAATTATGATTATTATAAAATAGTCTGTGGTGAGTTGCGGTTGTGTAAAAAAAGTAGGGATGTGGTCTCAATGGAAAATATAATCCAGGAATGGAATATATAATCCAATAATGGACATTTAGTGAATGTCCAGTATTGAACGTCCAAATATAATCCAAAATTGGACGTCCTATGAACGGTCAAAAGTGTACTATTTGTTTTCTTCACTGGACGTCCATTGAATGTCGAAAGTCCAGAAAAAATTCATCGTTGGACGTCCAGACATCCAAAATTGTATATCGAATAGACGTCCAATTTGTTCTGTCTGGGAGGTGAGGACAGATTATCTGCCTTCCACACTAAAAGCTTGGGTTCGAATCTGGGTTGGGGAGTAATTAAATTAAATATTTTTTTCAAGTTTATTTTATTTTATAAATTAGTAAAATTTATAAATTATTCTAACATTAGTTATTTTGTCTTAATAACCTAAAATAATTTTTTGAATTTGTAGATTTTTGTTAGGGGGTTGTAGAAAAAATATACTGTATAACTCGAGTGAATAGTCCATATCACACTTAGACGATTGAGCACTCCGCCCGCGGCGTCATGCTCAAACTTCGGCTTCGTGCGATATGGCCATCATATCCACTCTTGTTGCACAAACTACTATTGTTTTTTGTTAAAAAGTTCACATTTTGGTTCCGGCTCTTTATTAAGTAAATACGCGTATGTTAATTTGGTATATCCTATAGTCTTAACCGAGTCACTATCACTTTTATTTCGGTATTTGGCCCCAATTTCACTTGGGGTTTATTTTGTCCTGGTTCTTAAGATCTTTAAAGCTTTCCGATTTTAAGATATAGTCTAAATTTTTTCTGTTGTAGACATATTTCAGTTGTCTTTAAATTAGGACAATTCATTTTTGGGAAGTGATTTCTTAGGCAGAAAGACACAAATATACATAACTTTAGCACAGTATCACATACATTCACTTTTAGCTACACATTTTTGATTAAAATTCCTGTGTTAGATCGATTTTAATGTGCGATGTTTATTTTTTTTTAATATGTCCGACTGCACCTAATCTTACACAAGATTAATCAGCATTTTAAAATAATTAATTTACTAACAAACTTTAAATCTAGATTTCACCTGTGTTTAATACTAGTTATTAACATATTTTTCACAAGTCTGCGCACAAGATTCTGATTGTCTAAAAGTTGGCGAAATTCAATGTTAATGTGTTTGAGGAGCCCCATTTAGCAATGTTCTTAATTTCTTCTGAAATTGATTCAATTTAGAGTTCTTGGCGCAGGTCTTTATTCCGAACATACTAAGGAGCATTAACTATGTTTCTCAGAATTCGGTTTTGGATTATTTCTAGGCAATTGTAATCCTTTTACTGGTACACTCTCATAATTGTAGACCATAATATGTCCATACTGGCTTAAGAACTTATTTGTAAATCAGGACTTTATTTTGAGTAAAAAGTGAAGAGTGCCTTCTTATCAACAAATTCATATTTCTATTTTTAATCTTTAGTTGTTTAGTTTTCATTTTTACATGCTCCTTCCATTTTAATTTAGCATATAGATTTAGGTCCGTATTTTATAAACAGATCTCAGCTGAGCCTTTAAACGAAAATCGAAGTTTGTTTATATCGCGTAAATTTAGAGATGGGCAGTGGCGGCTTGTGAGGGGGTTCACAGTGACAGAATATAGGTATCAGTACAGATGTATGAAAAAACTTTCAGTGTTTTAGAAAGTTTATAATATACCTTTCTAAAACACTGACAGTTTTTTTACCTGTATCTGTACCGGAATCTATATTCTGCTACTGTCAACCCCCAAAATTTTGGTCACAAGCTGCCCCTGGAGATGGGTTAAAACAAATTCGTAAATGTACTTAACAGTTACAGATTTTCTACAGTCCGTCTCTAAATTCCAGTGTATCACCGGAACCACCTAGAACTTTAGAGAAGTTGTAACCAAATTTCGATTTTCGTTCAAGGACAACTCAGCCAAGTCCGACTCAGCTGAGATAAGTTTATAAATACGGGCCTTAGACCCAGATATTATGCTGTTTTCTTATTTCGTATAATATTGTTATTTTAATATTGTTATTTAAGTTTATTGGTATACCTATAATCTATTATTCTTCTATTAGTAAAGTTATTGTGAGCAAATTTTTCTTCATTAATTTTTGTACGCCACTATTTAGACCAGATTTGTATGCTATTGATTCCATTTTGAAGATTAGCTGTTGTTTCTTCTATAATTGAGCCTTTGAGTCTATGGTTAAAACAGCTGTATTATCAGCGAATGTGGTTATATTTATATGTTCTATCTCTGGAATGTCATAGGTGTATAATAAATATAATACTGGCCAAGAACACTTCCTAGTGGGACGCCAGCATTTATTGACTTGAGTTCAGAGAATTCGTTTTCCATTTTAACTTTAAATGTTCACTACGGTAGATATGATTCTGGTAGTTGGACATATGGCATCGGAAAATATTTCTTTATTTTAATTAGTAGGCCTTGATGCCACACTTTATCGAAGGCCTTTGAGATATCAAGAAATAGTGCGAAACATTTTTTTTTGTTCTAGAGAATTTTATTTATTATGCAATGGTTCTGATCAATTGTAGAATGTTTATCCCGAAATTCGAATTGATAGAACAGAATAAGTTGTTTTCTGTAGATTATCTTATTTAGTCTTTTTAAGACTAAATAAGAATAAATTTTTAAAAACAAATTTCGTTTCAGCAATAAAAATGGTATTTAAAAAGTTGTTTGTTTTTTTATTATCTATCGAATGGCCTAATTACATTTTCAAACAACACAAATTTCGTTCTAGCAATAAACTTAAACCCTCTCCAAATCCAAATCCAAATTATAATTTTAAGAAAGGATAATATTAATTATAATGCAAAAAATTATGATTTAATGTATTCTTTATGTCTAAATTTAAAATAATTAGAAGTTAAAGATTTAGTCCGACCGCTGGCGCTTTGACCTCCACCCAGGCCCGTAGCGAGGGGGGCGCCAGTGGGGGCTGAGCCCCCCCTAAAGCTTGTCTGCGCCCCCCCTAGAAGCGCAATTAACGTAAAATGCAAACAATGAACAATGAGTCGCATCGACGATTTTTAAAATTGTATTGATTTTTTTTTTTGGAAAATGTGAATTGGGAAAAATGTACTTACTATAAAAATTTTATAGTAGAACCGTTATATCAATATATTTTTAGTAATGGTTCTAAGTCACTTATATTATATTCTCTTACAAGAAAATACTTTATTTATTAACAGTTACTTATTGCTTATACTGTCCATTTTAATCAAAACATAATAAATACAAAGCCACAGACAATAAATTGCAACTGGAAATCGGAAAACGGATAACCATACATTTTATTTTGGTAATTCCCCTAATTTCCCTGTAGTGTCAAACCAAGATATTTTATTAAAACTTAAAACTGATTACTGATAGATAGCAGTACACGCACGGACAAAATTCTACAAAGCAGGGAGGCCACACTGACTGACATGATGAAAATAGTTTCAGCCGTTGTGCAAACGCTTGAAGAAAAGCGAAATAATGATGAGTACCACCGGCTCGTTAA